AAAACGGCCTTTGGGAGGCGCAGTTGCATTCAATTAGATCAACTCCTCCACTGAGGAGGAGAGTATTGAACTCCAAAAGTGCAGCACAGAATTGCCTAGGGCCGATATGAAATTCATAGGGCTTCCGATTAGTCCAACAAGTTTCGGAATTCATTTCGAATCTGGTTCCGATAAAATCCAAAAAGACCAAAACCAATGAACGCAGTTTGAGAACAAATTCTGACGTTAACTATCAAACGATCGTGGATACCGTAAAAGAGGGTGTATCCCAAGCCGTACAGTTCAAATTCGGCACTTTTCAACTCGGACACTTCTTTTTCGTACAATTCCGACAATTTTTTTGTCACTATAGTTTCGCGAAACTAGTGACAAAAAATCGAAATTGTGCCGAATTTCAATACTACCGTAAAAGACTCAACTCAAGACTTGCACAAAATCTTGCGTACTATGTTCATCTTGAAATATTGTTATTCAAGTGTCTGCGTTCACTGCACGCAGTTTCCCGTCACATACTTCAGGGTGTTGGGTATAACCTCTATCATGGCCGCTACAGCTCCTTCTCAAGCTTGCTTCATCTGTAACGAGACTGGGCACTATGCTAGGAATTGTCCACGACAATTTGATGATGACTCGGTAGGCTATCTCACAAAGTGATGTTTGGCAGTACTTCTTGGTCTCCAGCGAGCGCGTCGTCGCCCACAGAACTGCTATAACTGTGGTCAGCCTGATCATCTCGCCCGAGATTGTCCCAAGGATCAAAGCAATGACAGGCCGTGCTTCAAGTGTCAACAAGTAGGGCACTTCGCAAGGTAGGCAACTACTTGCACTACTGGTCTCTCTGGGGAACCTTTTCTATGCAGGGATTGCCCATCAGCTGACACGAGGAACTGCTTTCGTTGTGGCCAGTCTGGTCATCTGGCACGTGAGTGTCCTAACGAGGAAAACAATCAAGATAACAACAACAACAATCGTAAGAGCATTATTTCTGTTCTTGACGAATCTTTCTGAGTGTATATTCTTGTCAGGTGGTGGTGG